CGATGTGTCGGCGGCACCTGCATGGAGAATTGGCCTTGTGTCGCGAGACAGACCCACCGACACTCACAGCACCTCCTTCTCTGATCACTGCCCTTGGCTTGGAGCAGCGATTGCGTTCGCCTGTGATTCCACGCTGCGGTCTCAAGCGCAAATTCTATGTCGGGAAGTGCGTCGGGATTCGCGCGTGCCGGATGCCTGCTTTTGTGTACTGTTTTGCCCTCTTGCATAAATTCAAGTGCCGATTGAACATCACTTTCATGGCCAAATAATACGCCAATTCGGGAATATTTCACCCACACCTGCATGCAAATTATACATCAATTCTGAATCTGCAATTCAATGTGGGTCTCATGTAACCGATGGCTGTATCCATGCAGCAGCTCGCCTTGATTTCTGCCCCACGCTACCCAAGCGCCCGTTGAGGCTCTGAAGGAGTAATATATAGATGTTGCATGTGCTAAAATGCAGGCAGTATGGCCGGCTGGCGCAGCACTTTGACCAACAGCTTTGCTCCCAGCAGGTAGCCAGCGAAGCTGAGAGACGCAAAGCCAATGAAGACCTCAATTCCTTCAGAAACTCCTCTCAGGTACGCCATGCCGTGCGGCTCTCGTCGCGCACATTGAAATAAAAGAAAGCGGTATTCAAAAATTTGAAATTGGTGGGATGCGATTTTCGTGATTCTGTGAGATGCTGTGCAGATGTGAATACAAATCCATGACATATTCATTATCCAAATAATGATCGGGCACATTTTACGTAGCCTTAGAACTTCCGATTCACTACACCACTACAGTTATGCCCAGATACTACTATACAGGGCAACTGCTATAGGTCGCGATGCCGTGCGCAGCGCAGGAGGACTCGACAAACATTGGCAACGAGCTTGTAGCAACGCATTTGAGATCATTAAAACCCAATAATAGTAACGCGTTACAGTATGCCCAGGTTACAGTCGTTTCCTTCCTCGTTTCATTCTTTACCTGGATATCCAAGCACTTCACTGATGATTTTTGGCTGATTATTCGCGTTTTGGAAAGAAATACATACATGAATGCAATGTACTCCCAACAAATCTAATCAAAATTCAACATTAAATTCCCGGCGCTCCTAATAAATGATTCACGGTCACCTCATAAAATAAGCTATCGCTACAACTTTATTCTACACTTGGCAGCGCATTAATTGGATATACATGTACTGTATCTCCTTCGTGATGGTGGGATTGACGGACGCAAAATTGCTTGAGTCATAGTTACCAACCTTTAATAAAAGTCATTGTACATACTGAGTGGAAAATTTTGATCGATAGTTGAGATCAATGAGCCCAATGAGCACCAATAAAAAGCAGCATGCGTGGAAGAACAGGTTGCAATGTCTGTAACATGATTAACTTTCCGCCAACATCAAGGTAATATCTTGTGGAGATGCGTTGTTGCCAGTGCGCTTGATCCCATCATATGGATAGGAATCGCCTGATTTGACGCACATATTCACACGGATAAAATGATTTTACAGAGTTTTAACCTGTACTCCTCCAATTTTATCCAATACTCATCTTGGACACGCGCCAGATGTATGGCGGTGCGTGGATCTGCAGTGATCAGGGTTTGGGAATGGTTCCCTACGAATTGAGGCACGTTCTCAACAGGGGAAGCACACATCGCGGGAATGGGACTTGAATCGGCCTGACGCCAAGCTCATCGATAGGCCTGCGCGTGAGGGGGATGACGATCCTCGGTGTGGTGTGTCGTCGCTCCAGAAATTTGATGGAGAGGACCTCCCAGTGAGTGCGAAATACAGCCGCGAATCATTGGCTGGAGAGCGCCAGGCAGCAAATCGCCTATTTTAGAATTCGTCACTCCTTCAAGTCGTTGATCATTAGCGTCATGCTTGGTGAAAATATCCACTTTGGGCTGTCTATTATTTTCGTTGCCATATTCCACAGCCGAATCAGGCGGAAAGGTCGCCAAGTGTTCACATACATGCACATGAATCAGGGAAGCCTTCAGCTGGTATCGTAATCCCACGCCATGCAGTCACCCAGTGCGAAAAAAATCCTGATTCACGGAGTCCAACTACGGGCAGAAGTTAAAATACGATATTGCATAACGCATCTTAATACATCTGCGGGGTCATTGATGTGTGGATTGAAATCTATTGAAGCGCTTCAGATTTAAAGCGTGTTGGCAACTTTGGCGTGCTCAGGCGCAGCATGTCGCTTCGAGACCTGCGCCCCTGTGTTAACAGCATATGAAGGAAACACTGTTTCATTCTTTTGTCAAAAGAGAATGTGACCCAAGAAAAGAAAACGTGTGATGTTTACGAATACCCAAGAAAAAGCGGTGATTGCAATTGTGCGTGTCTCGACATCGGATGGCTTGCAACCATGCATCATGGACCGTGATGCAACTCACGTGTAAATTTTGCACCACTTTCAGGCTGCAGACAGAGGAGAGGCTCAAATGCAACAGTGCAAGCAGTGGTGGCAAGAGCAGGCCGCGGAGAACGATGCCATGAAGGCCAACGAGGCGGAGACTGAACGGGCGTTTGCAGACGTTCTGGACTACCAACAGGTGGCTGCCTCCTGCAAACGCCACATTAGAAATTGCGGACAAATCCACAATGTCATGGCATTGGGAATGTCAGTACTCTCTCATGCCGATGAGCGTGAGTTCCACTTTGCCGCGAAGCCATTGGCGACAATGATGCGGAAGTTGGCATTCGTGGCCAGAAGCACTCGTTTGAGAAACAGGGATACAAAGTTAGTACTTTGTATTACTTGTTTGTACTTTCCCGAAAGGGTGTTTAGTAGTGTTAATGTTATTTAATGTTAATATTTGCAGAGCAGATTTGCCGGCAGAATTTTTTCGCATGAGTGTACTCGCAAACAGATGCGACTCAGGCAGATTGCCCACGCATCGGTTTAGACAGCAGACGACGCCACGCATGAAAACCAATAGTGCATTCCTGGAGAACAGCGCTTCGCTGTTGCCATCGTCAACACCTTCGCCCAAAAATACCCTTGATGTCATCAAGGCGTACCAGCAATGCAACTGGCAACATTGTTCTCAATTTCGCACGGAGTGCACGCAAATTCAATTTGCGTGCTACCCGACAATTACAACATTTGTTGGTGGTATATTTCATGTTTTGATGCTTGGGAGTCGAACTCAGTATTAAGTGCCTCAAAAAAAAGCGTTCTCGATGCCCGGCGCTCAGGCAGTGCAGAGAGATGCAGCCCTGGAGGAGATCGAGCTCCGTCGACGGGCATGCATCGCGAGCGCGGAGGAGAACAAGAGATTGGCCGAAGAGCAGCGCCGACGCCAGGAGGCCGAGCACCGGGCAGACTTGAGCAGAAGTCTGCAGGAGCTGGATGCAACGCTGGCCTCTGCCTTGCTCACGGAGGACCCTCGGATGGCCGTCAGTGCTCAGGGCCCAAACAGGGTAACACAATCTGCCATTTGGTGATGGAATTTTTTCCATTCCCCGCCCGTCTGCCATAGCCAGCTGACCAGACTGGTCGTTCACGTCGCTCACGCAGCACATTCGCCGCCTTTGATCGCATGATTGAATCACAGTGTGCAAATAACGTACACAGTTCACTGCACTGCTATCCTGTTTTATCGTTGGATTGATCACTTTACCATCACTTTACCATCGCATTGTTTTCTGCACCAACGTTCTATTTTGGCCATGACCATAGTCATGTTGCTAATGTATTTCGCGCCATTTTTTCAGGTGCGCAGGGAGCACTGGAAGGGCATGACGGACGCCGAGCGGGCTGCCATTCGCGACACGCTCTTCCGCCAAGTGGAGGAGAAGAAGGCCAAGAGGCAGGCAGAGCTGGAGGAGACGGCGCGGAACGCAAGGCATCAGCATGAATCCCTGCGCCTAATGCACGAGAAGGCAAGGGCCGTGGAAGACTTCAAGAGGCAGCAGGACCGACGCCTGGCGGACTTCCAGAAGCGCCAGATGCTGGAGAAGCAGGACCTGGACGCCAGCATAAAGAGCCTCTATGCCAACCAGGTGGCTCCGGAGTACTTCATGCAGTTCGGCACCAGCCACCGCTGATAGGAGGCGTCCAACGTCACGCGATCATCTGTGACGGTTGTGCGGGGCGCGGGGCTCGTGCGAGTGTGTGGACGGGCGGATGATCAATTTTTCGAGGCCTGGGACGCTTGCGAATCTGTAGACAAGTGGGGCTGCGCGGAGACCATCTGGGGGAGCACCAGCAACATCCCGCTCTGCTGGCCCATGCCGCCCAATCCAGTGAGGCATCAGCCAGTCATGAGCTGCCCGTGTTGGTGATTCTTTAACGCAGGCCACCCTCATCGGGCCCCAGAGCCAAGAAATGCGTTCATTTGGTTCCAGCTCCTGTGCCGAAGTCCGACTGCTGCTGTGCGTGCTGGCGGCGCTAGAACTGCCCTTGATTTGTTGCCTCCATTCAAATGGATGCTACGTGCCTGCCCAATGCGCTCTATGGCCTGCGCGCTCTTCAGTCGTCTCGTTGTTGTCACCGAGAAAGGACGGAGGAGGGCTGCGTTACACTGCCCACGAGGTTCACAACTCGAAGAACCAAATTGACGCCAAGCCGATGGTGAGCTGACGCCAAGATGACGCGAAATCGACGACAGGCATAAGCCATGCTCACTTTGATGACCGCACGCCCGGTCCAGGCAGGAGAAAGCGGCATTAAATTTGTGTGCCTATCTGCGGCTCGGTCGCTGGCCGCTTGTCAAGGGAGCACCGGCAACTTTGGTAGAAAAATGTCACAGTAAGGGTATGAACAATTGATCCCAAGTCACCACGGCCCTGCATCGGCATGTAAAGCAGCAGGCCCACCCCCCAATTGCGCCCCCCCAACAATTCCCCAATGCCATGGCATAGTAGTTGACCACAATTCAATCCCCTATTTGCAGTCGTGCCCGCCCACGTGTCTATACTAAAACCACCTAAAAATGCAAGGTCTGTGGTCTAGGATCGTCCAGCACTCGGCCCCGTCAAGCTGCCACCTCGCTAACATCGCAGCGCGACGCCAGCTGCTCGGCAATGGAATCCATGACCGTCGAAACGAATTCCATCTGGACCTTTTCCGGCACTCGGCTGAAGTAGGGCACGTGTATAAAGAGGGAGTGCCATTTGCCGTTGCCCGCCATCATGGCCTGCCGCAAAGACTTGAAGTAGATCCAATTGCACACAAATCGTCCAGCGTCCTCTGAGCAAGTCGCCATGAAGCCACGTTGTTGCAGCTCGTCTGCACAGCAGGTGTTAAACGATGCTTCAAGCCATGCACAGCGACAAAAGCACTGTTTGAGGCAGCAAGCTACAGGTCGGTGCTTCGTGGCCAACAAGTAAACACCACACACTATGGTGCATATGTGCACAACGCAACACACAACAATCGCACATATGTGCACAACACACAACGATTGGGCAACTGCATTGTCGCATTCATGGGATCTCTTCGACTGTTTGGGTGTGCAGAGTAAGTCAACGCGCACTGTGCGAACGCCCACATCCCCAAGAGTAGACTCAATGCGACATACAGGTTCCCAGGGGACACGCCTTCCGCAGAGGATGAACAATTCAGGAACTGCTTGTTCACAACTGTCTGCCCGGCATTTGGCAATCGTGTGAAAATCATCTGCACGGCAGAGCTCATGCACTCGTCGTTTGCTTTTTGTGCGGGTAAAGCACCAGGCACGTCGTTCGAAATTGACCACCACCAGCACGGGCAAATTATTATGACATTTTTTGCAAATGTGACAAATGCTAGTCCCCATGGGCAAAAACGTCAGCCCCCATGCTGGAAACTGCGCATATCTTTCAATACACAGACAAAAAGTGCTGCAACCAGTTTCAAGAGGTGCAGCAGGGGTCAGTTCGAGGCCATAGCAACCTTGCTTGGCATATGCATACGGCACTTACCCAAAAGAGACTTGACGTCTATGTCAGTGCACAAGTGCGCGTCTGTTGACAGCCCATTGGATTCATCGATGGATCGGTTGATGAAAGTGCAGCCATCTTCGTCTGGATTGATGAACGTGGCACAATTGATGGCTTGTTGCTGAAGCACAGCACATCTTGCGACTTCAAAACAATCAGTGGCTATTATTGTACATAACACTACTGGCAACAGCCGCAACACCAACATCTATTGCGATGTTGATAACGACATTAACTGCCAGGATGGTGACAGTGGTAGTGACGATGATGTTCGTATCCCACAAGGATTGATATAACAGCAAGATGCATGCCACTGGCCATGGCCCATTCAAACGAATCAGGAACATCCCATGCATCAATATCTGAAAACACCAGCTGCTGCCCCCCCAACCCCAAGATCTCACAAGATACTACAATGCATAATACATACTTGTTGTAGTACAATTTTGTATGGGCAGAAGCATTGATGGCTGAATATGACTCTCGAGCTGCACAGCCCCTTCCTTGATGGTCCATGGTGGCATTTAAAGCAGCAGCTGCCAGGCACGAATCCCAAAAAAAACACCCAACTGAGGACAAGGCCACCACCCTCATGACACTTCCGTGCTTCTTCTTGTGTTTCTTCTTTTCAAGCACACATGTCTTCTGAGCCAGGCGCTTTGAGCAAGCGGGCAGAAGAGATGACCAGCCAGAGAGTAAACAACATGCAAAGGTCTATGTGCCCATCATCGACTGTAATATGCAAGATGGCCTAAAGCGGATGCACTCCCCAAAGCAGAAGGAAAGCAGAGTAGTTGGCATGCAAAGCTCACCAGCTGCACAGTGATGCAGTGGTACATACTGCATGCACTTAGTACAATCGTGCATCAGGAGGAAATGACCCAGATAAGTCGCTTCTGAAAAGTTCGAGACGTTGTTGCTATCGTCTGGATGAATCAGAGCATCCCAAACACTGAAAACATGTATGAACATTGCCTGCAAACTTCCTCTGAGGATAAGTCCCATGCGGGCTACTGCTCATTTCACTGGATGTCTCCGTCCACTAGTGATGTGCCTGGAGTGGCCATTTGTTCCATCTGTTGTACTGCATGCAACAGGATGTGACAAAGTACTGCACATGCATCTTCAAGGCATTGGATGGCACTTTGGAATGGATCTAAGAAGGGGGGAGCTCCAAAGACAAGCAATTGTGTCAACACACGAGAGTGAATCATGGCAGTGACACTGTGCTGACACTTGGTCCTGTTCACCTTATAGATTCATTAAGGACAAGCTGCAATGCATGGGAGGACATGCCAGGACATGCTGGCCTGCATGTGTTGCGCTGCCCATTGGTATTGGACACCTCACCTCAATTGCCAAGCACTTTCCACCAGGGTCCACTCCCAGATGCAGCTGGATCAACACACAAAGGCTAAATTTCTTGGTACACCTTTGTCCAAGATCGGCAAGGCATGGCATTTGCACCCTGCAGACAATGGCAGCCATACTAAGAATTCAAACAAAGTTACCTGCCCAAGGGCACAGCAGCAAATCGTACATGACTCAAGCTGTTGGAAACAAGTCCCCAAATGCCAGCAAAGTTGGCAGACCAAAAAACCTTTATGCATTCTCTTCACAATAACCCACTGACACACAAACACCACTCGTGAAGTTGGGCCAAGCAGATTCTGTTCAGCACACAGTGGTGCCAGGGGAACATCAAGGCAGTCTGATATGCACAATCTCCTTCGTGTCAAGTGGTTTTTGACCATATGTACAAACTGCACCTCTGTGATAACATGTCTTCAGATACCCAGGCACAAAGTCATTCTCATACAAGGACTGGGACCAAGGACTGGAATTTAACATTCCATCTTGCATCAAGCCTTCGAGCCCACCAAGACCAATTGCCTTTTCTATTCCTGCAGTGTTTTCAGCATACGTCGCACACCAGGTGCAACGTCTGGTGTGGAAATCCCCTCCTCCCCCCTGTCACTGAGTGGGATACATTTGACTCATCTCGACAAGACTTCAAGCAATACGCCTGGCGCGGCCCTGTTGCAACCCAAGCATGGGACTGGGGCAGTGGATGGACTGTCACCAGTGGTGCCAATCCCTTCGCCGACAACCCCATCGAGCAATCCACCCCTTGGCCCCCAGGGACCGCCCAACGTAACCTCCCAACCTCTGGCGATCGCCGGTGAAGATCAGCAGCCGTAAAGCGCCCATCCACTGACAATTGCCGCCTTGAGCGACGGCTTGCGTGAGCAGAAAGCGCCCTGGATCCCAAACCGTAATCCACATAAGGCGCGGCGAACTGGCGGTTTGCTTTCGATGATGACACGTGCCACCCGTGCCCTTACCCACACGACCACGTCCTCGGGATACAGCTCCTTGATCCGCTCCCCGGTCGCCTCCAGCCACTTGTCGACGTCGCTGGCAGCCACCCTCAGCACGGCGCAGATGTTGGGGCCTGCGGCGGTGGGAAGCAGAACCGCAGGCAGGGTCACTCAATCTGGGCTGGCACCTCGTGCCACGCGCCTTCGAGCGCGACCAACAAAAACATGCACGCCTACCCTGCGAACAGGGGGCGAGATGCCAGTCGGCCCCCCCAACAGGTGTGGCCTTGATGGAGCGACGGGGCAAGATTTGGCGACTTTTGGCCCTTCCCCGCGTCGCCGCGTTTGCTGGCGCTCCGTCGCCGGCACGCCCCGCCCCTGTCGCCAGGATCGCCTGCGCGCTTTTGCTTCCCTCGCCGCAGTAGCGCAGGGAGCCCATCCAAGGGACGAATCAGCGATGCCAACAGGATGAACTTGGTAAAGCCCCCATAGGCGGGGCAGGGCGCATCCTTGCCCCCCCGCCCCGGGGCCTTGATCGCAAAGGGGGAGGGACGAGCGGCGTGGCTGCTCGCGCAGACCGGGGTTGCGCGCGACGGGCGGGCTCCAGCTTAACAGAGAATGCTGGAGGCGCGCGGGAGTGCGGCGCGAGGAGCAGCCGGGGTGGACCAGGGGCAAGATCGCGCACCTGATTGCCGGCCGCGCGTGTACTCCGGCAGGTTGTCGACCAGCCACTCGGTGGGGTTGGACGCCACGCCGGAAAACCTCCCAAACCCCGTGACCACGAAGCGCACCACCATCGAGCAGCCCTCCCGGCGGTTTGGCGGGGGCGCCGGGGCGGGGCAACTCGCAGGGCGATCGGCGGACGGGGAAGGCGGGAGGGGCTGCGAGGATGGTGGGTGCCTTGGGCGAGCTGCGGCGCGGGGTCTCCGATCAGGGGGCACAAACCGGGGCGGTTGGGGTGGCGTCACAGCCCGGTTGCCCGTTCGGCCGCCGAGTCAGCAGGAGGTGGAGTGACCTTTTGCCCCACGGACACTGTTTACACAAGCCCTTGGGGCCCCTTCGCTTGCCGGATACGGCGCCGGAATGATGGGAACCGGCGCAGCCTCGAGATCTGGAATTCGCCCGGAAGGAGGCGTCGTGGGCGGTGAAGGGCTGGGTCCTGGCGCTGGCAAGCCCGTCTGCGGGTTTCCCGTTCCCCAATCGGCCCGGGTTGCTGTTGTTGGTCGGCGCACTACTGGAGAGCCGCGAGGTGTTCCAGTGCGCCTGCGGAGGGTTGCTGCCACCATCAACTCCCCGCCAGAAACAAGCGTGGACAATGCGTCCCATGGCACAGTGTCGTTGTCTTCGTGAGCTTGGTGTGTGGCTTGGAGGCGGGCCCCACATCTCCTTCTCGTTCGTCCCAAGGTGTGGTGCAATGTACCAGGTACCCTTTCGAAATGTAGCGGGTGCATTTCCAAAGCAGTAAATCCCAATACTATCTTCACGCTATCTTCAACATAATCGCCCACCTGGGCCATCCCAACGGGATGCATTTGAGAGCCAAATTTTTGCTCCGTCCCACAATCGATACCGGGGGGCCCAACCAGACAAGGTGCCGCCTGGACCCTGGGGCCCACCGCGTGCAACCGTGCCGCAGTGACGTCCGGCAGAAAGCGCAGGCCCGCAGGCAACGGAGTATCCCACATGCCGCCACCCCGCCTGGGTCGAACGGAGACAAGGTGACCGCCCGAAGCGCACGCTGAAGCCGGCCGGGGAAGCGGACGCTCAAAGAGTAATATGCCTGCTGGCCCGCAGTGACCTGCTGAACGAGATCAACGGCGCACTCGGGAGATCGGCGGCTCCCAAGGTGCGCCATCCCGACGACTGGAGCCGCGCCTGTGCCATCGGCGGTCAATCTGTGGCAGTTGGGGGTGACGCCCGCTGTGACGGCAGCATTCCCTTGCTTGTTGAGGGTCCACGCGTCTTCTTTGTGTTTGCGGTTGTTTGTCGGAAGGAATGTTTGCGTATACAAGGGAGCGTTCGCACAAGTTCAGCTCGCCCTTGCCAGGGTGCTTTCGGGACGCACGGCACGCAGTGCGGCCGCCGCAGGCGAGTGATAGCAATGGTTGGATGCCCCGGGTGGGCGCGTCTGCTGCACATATTGAAGGGACCTGGAGCAACTGGCTTCAAATGCCCGCGTGCAGCCTTTGCAGATTTTGAAGACTCCCTTGTGTGCTGTGGAAGGCCCAAGGGGGAGGTCCGAACGGGACGCGGGAGATGGATCGTTGGGGTCCGTCGGAGCCAGTCGCGATGATGGAAGCAGGTGGAGCTCGTGCCGGCGTCTTTGCTTGTGTGGCAGAGTGAAGCCTCGGGAGAACCAGTCCCTTGCAGCTACCTGTTTGTTGCAATAATTAATGCATGGGCAGTGATTCCAATTGGCGGACAAGGCAATCTAGAGAAGTGCCAAAGGGGTTGATGTGCAATTTCCCAAGTTGGGTTGAAGGTGGGGAGTACTCCAACCAGAAGCCCAGGGTGCAGAGATGGCAAGATTATTGCAAGGGAGCCTGAAAGGCGAGTGGGTTGGGTGCCACGCTCGATGGCTCTCTTTGCAAGTGGACTGCACACGTTTTCCAGCATTTCATGCAAAGCTATGTCTGATCATCTGATGAATTATTGAACTGGTTCCTTGTGCAGCTCAAGGTGAACTAGGCATGCATGACATCAACCCGCTGGAGCTCCGAAGGTGATGCAACTACCACAGCACATCAGCACAATGGACAACCACAAGAGTCAAACACTGATATTGCTATTTGTGGGGAACCCGGCCCCACCTCCACATATCTTGCTGTTTGAACAAACTTGTTGAATGCAACCGCATGTCAAGCAATGCAAAGCATGTGCTGCCTCATCCCCAACCTCGCGACTGCCAAAGCGTCGTTTCTTGTGGCTGCAGCAATGGGGTTTATTGCTTGTTTCCCCTCCCACAGGCTTACCTCTACTATTGGAGTCATGGCAACAACGAAAGCCCTGGAGCAAGCAACAGAGAGATTCACAAGCGCTGCTGAAGCAGTCCTGCGGAGATTGACTGGCTGGAAGGAAAAAGAACAGGCTGTTGCCCAGGTGAAGTACAACTAAGGCGATGACAGTAATCTATCGTACATCCTCACCTTGAGAAATATCACGAGGGGCGAAGTGAACAGCTGACTGTACCTGGAGGGGGGACAAGACTTGGTTGCTATGCATTGGTGCCTAACAACTGCTTCCTCTCAACAGGAGCTAGGATCTAGGCTGGAAGAACAGTGGAACGTGTTGTTTGGCAACCTCGCCCATGCACCACTGAACCTCGACAGGGCCGATGGGTTCACTCAATCTAAAGGACACCAGGCCAGTTGTGCTGCAAGAGCTGACATGGAAGACCAGGGCCGTGCAACAGGACAACAGCACAACAATGACTGGGTAAACATTTTCTCCTTTCCAGCTGACTGTGTGGCAATCAAATGCATCAGCAGTCACAACAGACAACACTGCCAGGTCCATCACTGTCGCATCAATCTTCACAGTCACAGCGACTGTGTCAAGGAACTCCTGTGAACACACTGCAAATATTGCTTGGGTGGAAATATATCAGAGGGGATGTATGTGACATCCTCTGCTGGGACCGATGAAGGGAGAACCATAAGGGGGTGCAATGCAATACACAGTGCATGTTGCAAATGGCTACTCCTCACGGTGAACAGTCCTGCACCATGCCCCAAGGGCAAACCCCACAGCATCAAGCAGAGCAACCCTGACAGCTAGTTGTCCCATTTTGCCACAGGCACGTGAGGATAGCCATGTTCCTCTCCCTGTGAGGCCCAGCACAGCTCCACACTGCCGCTCGGGTTCAGCTGACAGCACGGCATTGCCAGGACATCGTTCACTGACGCCAACAAGTTCTGTGGCCTGCACCAAGCGAACTGAGGCACAACTCCCTGAATTTTAGACAAGTTCAAGACATGCATGGTTCAAGCTTGGTGTACTGACGTCCGACCGGTGTGGAAATCTCCAGTGATTGTTACGTAGGGGGATTGGGTTTGCCATTCAGACATTCTGAACACCAGTTCACGGACACTATTTCTGAGGATCAGCTGCACCAGCTTTACAAAGAGAAAGCAAGAGGAACAGAGAGTTCAAGGACGTCCGCTGCAGCCCAGCTGCCGCCGTGCGTCCGTCGTCAAAGTCGCCAAGGCACTGGCCGTCGGACAGCCAACGTTATCCAACGTTGGATTCCCCAACCACACTGTACAATTCCTTCTGGCAGTTCGTCATTCGTTCACACATGTTCACACCGACGCCGCCCGCGGCGTCCAGAGCGGTCCCCGCGCTCATCCAAACATTGAGTCCCAGCTCCCGCCTCCAACCCCGCCCGGGGGCGGCAGGTCGGGGTGCATGTGCCCCGGGCGCCTCCTCCCCGGCCCGCCCTGAATGAAGTCCTCCGGCATGTAGCCCGGCAAGCCCGGCGGCGCCACGGGGTCAAAATCCGGCACAAGGCCCCTCCCGCCGCCGGGGAGCAGCTCCGGATGGCGGAAACCCCCCACGAACGCGGGGTCCCGCGGACCAGCCAACATGCCGCCGATCCCGGGCAGCCGATCGGCATCTCCTCCAAACATTCCCGGAACCCTTTCGCCGTACGGGATGCGATCAGGAGGGGGCGCCTCCCCGACCGGGCGCTCGACCTCGCGCCCGACCCGGTCGCGTCCTTCACGCGTCGAAGAAGACGCCTCCCCGCCACGTTTGCCGAATTCCATGCATGACGCCACCTTTGCCGCCAGGCCGTCCAGGTCCTTGAATCCCTTCGCCACGTCGTTGGAGACCGTCGTGAACTGCCCAGCATCCAGCTCCAGGCTCCGCGGCACCTCCGCGCCCTCCCCCATCGCGAGCGCGTTCACCATCAGCTTGTCGCCCAGCCGCAGGCACTTGACCGTCACGGGCGGCTTTACCCCCTGGGGGTCGACGTACTGGAAGGCGTACCAGTCCTCCTGGCCGTTCCAGCCCTCCAGGGTGGCTTCTTCGGCGTCCGGGTCTGGGGTGGTCGACCCGTCCACCTGCGTCCCCACACCGGTTACCGTGTAGCCCTGTGAGAGGAAGAAGGCGTGCACAGCGAGGGCCAGCCGGTCGTGGGGCCCGCGGAACTGTGGGCGCAGCGCCCGCATGATCGCGGCCAGGACTGTCCCAGAGGCCATGCCTCCGGGGCGGGGCGCGCAAAAAGCGCCCGGTCGGAACAAAGCAACCGCGCTTGGGGGGTAGCTGGTTCAGTGTTGGTAGCCAAACTTTGGGCGGCCAGTAACTAAATTCTCCCTTCTTGTGACTGTTTTCGCGCTGGATACTGCGCTCTCGGCTAGATGGGGGATTACGGTGCATTACTGGCCAAGAACTGGGCCCCTTGACCCCCCCCTTCGGTGCGGCCCACCCACTCTGTCGTTTTGCGCGTGTCTGGGCCATCCGCAGCGACTTGGGGCCCTCCACACCCCGCTCGGCCGCCCGCCCCCGCGCCTTGGGCCGGCCCTTCTCTCCACCCCGCCACCAGCGCGGGCACGCGCGCCCCTCTTTGGGATTCGCCGCCTGGGCCCCCCGGAGGGCTGTGGGCGGGAGGGGCGTGCCTGCGGCTTGGCGCGGGCGCGGTGGGCGAGCAGCGGCGGCAGCGGCGGCGGTGCACCCGTGGGGAGGCACGAGCACCCGCCCCCGGGGGTAATGGTGGACATGTACGCAGCCACCGGCCAACACGAGGAGGCCGCCTTCGGCAACCTGCCCAACCTGCCCAACCTGCCCAACGCGTCCACGCAGTCCGTCTGGTGGGTGGTGCGCCTCGCTGAAAACCGCCCTCCCCGGCGCCTTTGATGATCGACGGGGGCCGTGGAGGTTCGCTGACGAGGGCGCGCCGGCGGTTGCGCCGCAGGAGCACGGACTACGACAGGGACTTCTCCAAGCTCCTGGATTCGAGCATCCTGCAGCAGCTGGAAGATCTGCCGAGGGCCACGTCCGCCCCGCCGCACCTGCAAGATCGCCTGCAGACGGTGAGATCCGCGGCGACCGGGGCGGGGATGGGCTGCCTCAATCGCCGCCGCGAGCCTCGAGGGGCCCACGGGCGAGGGCGCGCCGCCCCCCTGGGGGGGCCCAAGCCTCGGCGGCATCACGGCGTCGCATGCTGTCGGGTCAGCAACGCATGCCTTCGGGTCGGCGTCGAGCCGCCCGTTTCCTTGGATTGCATCAGCCTTGGCAACGCAGAGCTCGGCGATTTAAAGTGGCAAGCGATGACGCCCATTTGCGCCTCCAAAAACGGCCGTTGGCCGCTCATTCGTTCGCGTCTTCGCGTGCCCCGGGCTCGCGACTCGCGCATGCGGTGTCCCCGTGCTGGTCGGCGATCCGTGGTTGGTTGACGCTCCCGGTTTTCCTCCGGCGCAGGCGTCTGTGGACCCCGGCAGGGCCTCCAGGCTGACCCCCGCGGACGCCTTCACGGACATCCGCTACGACGAGGACTACGCGGCGTTCTACCAGCTGCACGCCGGCGACCGCAAGCTGCCGCCGCCCGTGGACGGCAGCACGCTGTACACCGACCTGCAGAGCTACATGCAGGCGCAGCAGGCGGCCAGCAAGGACGTGTCGTCCCTGCTGCAGGCGACCGCCGCAGGATCGCGCCTCTCCGCGCTGGCGGGGACGTCCGGGCTGGGCGGGCAGTCGGGGCTGCTCGCGGGGGGCGTTGGCGTTGGAGGTGGGAGGCTTGAGCGGCTGCGAGTTAGGGCGTCCGAGCGCGGGGCTCGCGTGCCGGCGCGCCGGGCACTGATGGCTGCGAGGCTCGATGGCCGGTGATTCGGGCGGTTTTTGATGCGGACCTCTGTGCGCCTGGGGCAGGTCTGGAGACGGTGCAGGAGCAGAGGCCCAGCTCGGGCGCCGTCGTGCCGAACGACGTCATTCAGGCCCTCAGCCAGCTGAGTAAGTGGACGATTGCTGCCGCCGGTGGGGACAATTGCAGACGCGCAGTTGGTGCCTAGCTGATGGACAAGGTCCTGCAAGCTGTGTATTTCAGTGCACTGAACGGATTGTGTTGTCCATGCTGCTGCAGCTCTGGCAGCCGGCTCACCAGCTCCGCAACGGCCTCTGTCTGCACAAGCCATCAATGGGCCTTTGACAGCAGCTTCCCCTGCTCCGCAGAGCACACCAGGCCTCTTTGATGGTGAGTTCATGTATACATGGCACGCTCCATTCACGTCTGTTGAGCCATTCGAGGCACCCAAAGCGCCGCAATTCCATTGCTTATGGTAGGGCACATTTGTGCAATGTTTGTGGTACCAATCTGTAACTGAACCTGGTGATTCTATTAGTATGTGTTTGTGAACCAATCATGACCTGTGCTTGAGCTGCATAGCCATGCTGCAACAAATGGCTTGAATTTGTCTGCCATCGATGGCTGAACACTTAATGCCACCACACACACACTAAAAGCATGCTGCACATAGTTTTATTTGGACTTTGGTGATTGGGGGAATGTGTTCACTTTGTTCTTTATAGCCCCATATGTCTGACTTCGTTTTGCAAGTGCCAGGGCTGTGTTCTGTATGCTTTTGACAAGCCCTGTCCAAAAAATTGAACCACCAGTCACAAAGCACGAACTCAATCGCCGAGTTGGCCCTGAGCCTGGCCTGCTGTAGCCGAAATTGTTGCCAGAAGAGCCTGACTTGGTCGCCTGTGGCTATGTGGTAGCTTCTGCTCTTGGGGCCGCAACTGTGCGCAGTGCATCAGCCTTTGCGGCCGTGAGCCTTGCTGCAACCCCGCCTCCCTTCACACACACTCCCAGCCCTCCCCCTGCCATGAACCCTGGCGTGTCCACGTCCATGGCACCGGGGCTTGTGGGGCCTAGTGCCAAGCTCAGACAGCCTGGGGGAGGACTACCAGCAGGGCCAGGTTTGCCAACAGGGGCAGGCTTGCCTACGGGGGCGGGGTTGCCTGTGGGGCCCATGCCAGGGGGTGCCAATCCTCTCACAAGCTCGCTGGAGTACCAGGCAGCATACCAGGCTGCCTATCAAGCCGCTTTGATGCAGTCACAGTCCAATTCGCTGCTGCTTGCACAGCAACAGCAGCAACAACAGCAACAACAGCAGCAGCAGCAGCAACAACAACAACAGCTTCAGCAGAGCAGACAACAGGTGTGCAAGTGGACTTCGTCCATATAGTTCCAAATCGCTTTGTGTGCATTTAGTAATGTTATTGAACAGTGGCCTGTCATTCTTTCTGTAACGTCAAGCACTGTTTACAGGCATATGTGCTCCTTATGTGGTTTTGTTCCCTGGTCATCTGTGGACCTGCTGGCAGTCCATACCTGGCTGATATGTGCATTCCTGCGGTGGTGTGCCCAGATGCCTGGTTTGGCTGGAGGCTTGCCACTGGGAGGGCGATATGTGGGGCAGCCTGCTGGTGCGTAGCAGTACCGGCTGGAGCTTGTGTTCGATGCACATCCACATGTTGGCAAGTTGTGTTCGATGCACAGCCACATGTTGGCAAAATCCTTCGATCTCTGCAGTTGTGACGGTTTGGAAAGGAGTTCTGTGCGTGTGGGTTCATCAATCTGATTGACTGTGGTGGTCACACATAAGAAAGCAAACCTTCTGCAAATTCCATGATACCCGGCTCATAATGCTACCTGAGCGTTGTTCCCTTGAGCCATATCGGAACCGCGAAAATCAGTGATTGGTTCCAGTTGCAAACTGCTAAGGTCCTGACAGCGGCATATGTTGCAGATGCGAATATTGGCATGGGGAATGGCATGCAAATGATGAATCCTGCGCAAATGGCTGGGATGCCCGGCTACGGCTATGGTGGCAATCCTGCAGCAGTGTCAGCAGCAGCAGCCGCAGCTGCAGCTGCAGCAGCTGCAGCGGCTGCCAATGGTGAGTTCCCATCTATCAGCACTACAGTTCCAAAGTGCGAATTTGGTGCAGATAATTTCTGATGTTCTGGAGCTGCAAGTTTTGTACCGTGAGCAAGTTTCTGTTGTTGAGCATCCAAACAGAACATCGATTGCTGTGGACATCTTGCTGTTCAGGACACTTGTTTTGTTCAAAAATACTCCATTACATTTAGAATCCAGGTGCTACACTCTATTTCGGGCACTGCTTTTGATGCCTTAATGATGGATGTTGTATTCAGCCAGTGGCACACTAGACCGCAGCCCCCCTTTCGAGCATCTGGCTGCAATATCAGTGTTGAGCAGCAGCAAGTTGCCCCTCCAAGTTGGTGTGCTGTGAATCCTGGATGCTGCCCTTTTCATCTTCAAGGATAAATTGTCAGGTGCATGCAGTTGGCATCCTGTTTTTCTTATGGTTGAAGCTTCTGCAGTGGTATTTGACCATAGGTTCTTGTGAATCAACTCTTTGTCTGGGTTGACGTATAAAGGTCTCACTGTTAGTGTTTCTCCATCATCTTCCATCCCTGTCATTGTCTGTTCATAATATTCAGTGGATTGTGAAGGAGACTTTGACATTTGTGGTCGCCGGAACAGGTCGACAGTCTCCCTTCACGGCAACTGGGGGCCTTATGGCTCAGTGCTTGAAGTAGCCTTGAGTGATTTTGTGCACAACCCCTGTTGCTTAATGCAGGCCTTGCT